CTTAATTCGCCCCAATTCATGACATAACTTGGCCTATAACCATGCAAGAGATAGCAGAGAATTGCATAAATCAGCTTCCTCAAAAGTTTGATTGCTTCCCGCCACCAGAGTCTTTGATGCAGCTCCAGGCATTGATTGTGTCAACACAAAGGCCTTTCTGGTCTTGCTTTCCTCAACAAGAGAGTAGCAGAATGGCCATAGCAACTGCAAAATCAAGAAACAATCACCATGAACAGCGATAAATTAGATAAGATTGCTAGTATGGTTATCTATAATCAAAGTTGTAGTTTTACTTCAACATGCTCACGTATGTTCCGAGTCTTTCTAAAGGGTCAAAAGACTCAAAATTAAGCTAATTTATGCACAGTGGTATTTTCTTTTTTCTCACTAAAACCAACTTTAAAATCTCCCTGATGAAATTTGGAAGATGGATCATATTCTATCCTAGTGTTTATATATACCAAGCTTAGATGTACGGAGGATTGAAAACATCTAAACCATGATTAACGTGAAGAATTATAATTTTATACTCTTAACACAAAAAAAATTGAGCACCTTCACTGGATCAGAACGAAGGAAATTTCTCTGCAGTCTTCGTCCGTCAGGGAAACGAATGGCCACCGTGCAGATGACTTCCTTGCTGCCTTGCGGTTCTGCAATAAGAGACGGATATGCAGGCTCTTCTACGTCCTCGGTAGGCAAGGTATCATCTTCTGAACTTTTTTGTGCATTACCCAAGGACACATCATCCACATCTTCTGCAGTCTGATCTCGATCCTCTTCTCTTGGATTAGCCATTGACTCCTCATCTACAGATGCATTGTCTATGGTGGGAATGTGTGATATGAGTGATCAAATAACAATATATATGAATAAAAACAAGTTGACACACCTGTAACGTAGGTATCAGAAGTCTCAGCATTTTCTCTTGACTTCTTCTCAGAAGGACCAAAAACCCACTCTTGTGGACTTTTTTCCGTATAAGGGAGCAGACTCTGAAAACAAAATAATCATACTAGTGAAGATAATAACAATTAAAAAAAGTCACTAACTAAATAAAACACTAAAGGTTTAATTTTGTTCATAAACTTGAAGAAAAGTTTAATCTTCATCATACCTCCAATAAATCCAGCGGCTGTATCATTCCGTTCCAACAACGCATTTGCTGGCCTGTTATTGGATCTATGATAAGAATTGCTGGTAACGAGGAGACCTTATAGTAGGCATTCACCTTCTTGCCCTCATCGGTATCATTATAAACCTGGATAATTATGTGACATGACATAAAAATAATTAGATATGATATGCACATATGCAATCATATGGACAGAATCATGGTCATATAATTCATGAACAAATTTAGACCGGTAATTCATCTGATATTAAATGCTTATTTCCGTGAGTTTCCATAGTGTCAGCGACTTGTAAATATCCAACATGCCAAGTATACTCTGCATATATATACTACAAGACCGTATCGATAAGTGTCTAAAGACTTATTCTTAGTTTTACAGTTGTCTTCACTAAGTACAAACTAAGTAGTTTATGTATAAGAAAATTTAAGTAGACGATTAAAATGGTGCATAGTATACCTGCCAGAAAATGAAGTTATGTCGTATCATTTCCTCGACGCTCTCATTGGACCAAGTGTCCCTGTTCAGCTACACAAAACAACCAAACGAGGAACTCAGTTTACAATCAACAAACAAATTTCGTTTAAAACATCATAAAATCAAGATTTAACAAGTCTTTACCAGGTGCGAGTTGAATTCTTCATTCGACTGCAGATTAACTATCAGCCACCTGTTCTCAACTAAAGACTGCGTTTTCACCTGCAATTCATGTAGACAATGTATCTTTCAATGACTTAATTCAGAAAAAATTTGCTGATCAAAATTCAAAGTTTGGAAACTTTAAAAAAAATTTACCTGCGTAAAAGAGCCTTGAATGGTCAGGGAATTTGGACGGCGATACAAGGAAGCAAGATTACCACCAGAAGCAGTTGGCGTGGGATCAACTCTTCCATCCGATTCCCATACTTCATTCCTTGGCTTATCGTGTTTTGGATTCAGGAAACTAATTTACAATATATGGAGATGACAAAGTCAAGAATTAGACATATGAAGAATCATGAAGAGAATGATTTAATATACAAGAAGAAAAATTTGTAGGAAATTTAATCATGTCATAATTATGAACATCTTTTATAGGTCACGAAATCTGCTACCATAAAACGTTGGAAAATAACTAACCTTTTTTTTATCCGCAACTAAAATAGAGATTATCAAATAAATTATAAGGATCCAATAGGACTAATTGATTCCGTCAAAAGACAGAAGATTAGCAGATCAAAGCATGATAAAGTTGTATAACATAACATGACCTAACATCTGATTTATCCCTAAAGAGTAAGTAATTAAGACTCTAAACCACCTTTTAATCTTCAATTAAACTCTTTAGGATGCACTTGCATAACATCAAAAATCTATGCTAATATTAATCAAATACTATGCCATATTGCCCTACAAGCTGACCCTCATCAGAACGAGCTTCACTAACCACTATAATAATCACCGTAATAAAAAGATAAATAAATACTACTAACATTGAGAATAAAATGTATGGGTTCATTTAATTTTTACTCACCTAACAGGATCCGTTGACCCGGCCTCGCTCCTCATGAAGAAGGAATTGAGTGCTTCTTCAAGTTGCCAATTCCTTGCCTGCAGAATCAAAACGTAACACATTGCAATCAGAATCCAATTCTTGTAAAATTACTAATAATAACAAAATATTTCATATATATAATACATTCCCCAACTTTGTAGGAGTTAATATTATTCTGAAACTTTTTTTTATTTGCAGGCCTTGCGGTGTCCTATGTTTGTTAGAGTATAAAATTATAACTATAACCCTTGATCCATATCATAATTTTAACATTTTGGTGGAGCATGCACAAGGAAATTATATCATGTTACCCTAGCAATCCAAGTTCAGTTCTCATGTACCGTGAATATAAATTGGATTTACAAAATATATCGCCGATTTAATTCTGATTTTAACACATAAAAAAGTCACGTAATCTAAAATCATAATCATAACCCTCATCATAATTCCAAACTCTCTCAACAATACATTGACGTTACATGATGCACACATGACATGTAAAAATAACGCAGTGATGAACCTCGTTTCGAGATCAGAGAGTAGAACTTCTAATAAATATTTATCAACGCGACAAATAACTACCCCTCCAACATGTAATTAATTCTAATAAAAATAATATGGCATAAACTCCAAGGCACATAAATAAAAGAATTATTGAGTGATGAAACCTTGAGATAGTAGACTGCTAAGGCCTCAGAGTTGATGCCAGTGATATCGAGAAAAGATGAGATCAAGTTGGAAGAAGAAGACATTGTTGCTTGTTTGAGGCAACACAGAGACAATACAAAGAGAATTCAGAGAAAATTTGATGAGAGAGCAGAGAGGAGAGAGGATATGGGTCCGGTATATAAGATTATTTGGATCCGAATCCAAGTATGACTAGGGGACGAAATTAGGTTAAATTAGGAGCTGGTAATCAAAATCCAATATTATGTAGGAGTTGGAAACTTGGAACTAAAAAAAAAAAGGAATATTTATATATTATTAGTGTTTGAAAAAGTGAGGGTTAACTAACTTTAATCTTTATAAAGAATTTGTTACCCTTTGACAAAATTTCCGTTTAGATGGTGAAGGAGGGTTTAAAGTTTAAACCCTTTCACCCTTTTCTGAACCCCTTGCCAGCCAAAGGTTAATACCGTAAATATAAATCATATGTAAATAAATCCGAGGAGTCAGCGGGTTTGGGTCGTCAGCGGATTCGAATCCAAAATACCTCTCATGATTTAGCCAGACCAAAATTAGGGTTTATACCAAAATCCCCAAATCTCTCTTGAGAGAGACAAAACAATGTCGGATTCGTACAGGAAAGTGAAAGCAGGCAGGCTCACCTTCAAGGGCGGCGATCTCGCCACCGTCAAATCCATCGACAAGAAGAAGAACAAGAAGAAGAAGCACAAATCCAAATCCAACGGCGAAACCCTCGACCCCGACCTCGGCGGCGACGAGAATCATGAATCGTGCCACGGCTGCGGAGAGGGAGAACATCTACACGATCGACGCAGCGAAGAAGATGAAGTACGAGGAGCTGTTTCCCGTTGAAACGAAGAAGTTTGGTTATGATCCCGCGAACAAGGAGAAGACTGGAGCGAGATCGGTCGAGGAGGCGCTCGATGATCGCGTCAAGAAGAAGGCCGATCGCTATTGCAAGTGATCAGATTCGATCTAGGGTTAGGGTTTCTTGATTTCTTTTCATTCTGAATAGTTCACTGAATTAGAGCTGTTTGAAGCATTTGATGCTTTACTTATGGATTGATTATTGATACTATTATGATTCGCGACTCTAAATAAACCCAACTCCTGTGATTTTTGTCCCCTTTAGGTTATTTCTAAGAATTATAACATGTTGGTCTACTTTATTAAAGAGCCTTATAGTATATTAGTTTATATTATGTGGTATACTGGCTGCGGCTGTGAGCAAAATAGGCGTCTAGAGTGCAAGAAGGCTACAATTTCTAGGGATAAGTTAGGATTTTTTTTATGTGAAAGTTGTGAACTAGAAAGGAAATACATAGCTTTTGTCCTTAAAAATTAAGATTGAGATTGAGAGATCATCCCTGTACCATTTTAGTTATGTAAGTTATGTTTCTTGTTAGTTCCTCGTTACATTCAAATTTTAATAACGCACCGAACAAGTTTGCAAATACCGTTGGCAGAGGCTGTTTCTTAATTCTCTGGATAGGGTTGAATAACTAAATTAAATAGAAAGGAATAGAAGCTAAGCAATGAAGCATTTATAGTTTTCATTTGAGTTCAGAAGTAAGCTACTTATGCAAACATGAACTTTTGGTTGATTGCTTAAGCAGATTGTTACCTATTCTGTGTCTTGAGAGTCTTCTGGGGACGAAGACTAGTTTCAACTTTATCATTTCTGTTGTATGAGAAAAGTCTTGAGAGAAATGTTTCATACACCGAGCTATGCTCTCTTTTGCTAATTGAATCTTCATTGAATGTGGTCAGGACATGTTATCCCAGCTTCACATTAACTGCTGTAACTTCATAGGGTTTTGATAAAGATTCAACATTTAACTCAAATCTTTTGATTAAATTTTAGAAATTTAAATTCTTATTGCACGTAAAGCCAAAAATGATTGCATACAACTTCCCTGTACTCATGCCTTGGACATGGAGCCAAAAATTTCCAGAATCCATGAGTATTTAGTTTCATTCGCTACATGAATCTTATGATCCTTATTTTTTACAGAACCAACCTCCTCCATAGTACCCTTACAGTCACCGTTTGCATCCTCAATACCGTCCTTCTTGACTTTACGAATAGCAAAAGAGGTACATCCTCCTTAGGTTCTTTTGTTGGATTGGTAATAATCGTAATTATTTCTAGTGTATACTGGTTCTCACTATTGTTGATTTAACATGTTGAGTTCTTTTGGGGCTGTCCTGGTCTCCATACACTATTCATAAAAGCTTACAATGTTCATGTCTTCTTACTGTGTCTATATTGATTTCTGTAAGCCAACAATAAGGTCGTAAAATTTGGGGGACTAGATTTATATAAGGGATCAATATCTGAAAATTGATGGGCGGTCTTCCTATTCCAAAACGTTTTGCATACACTCAACAACTACCAAAAAGTTGTTGAACTCCTATGTTACCTGATGATACAAAGCATCCATCTCCTCATCCATTTGAAACGCCTCATGATAAGTAGTAGGAACAAAGACGGTAGATAAACAAGAGGCAAAACAGAAAAGGTAGGAGATAAATGTGACAAAGAAATAACATTAGAAATAAAATGTTTGGTATTGCAAAACCAGTTATCTTTCTGAAGAGCTATAGAAAGTTTAGAATCCTTAGTTGAAGTAGATTGAAAGTAGGGTGTACTGGTGATTTGCATGTTAGTCTGCTTTCATCCTTGATAGGTCTTGGATGATAGTTTTTCGTTTGCTAGCAGGAAGAAAGGGTGCAGAGGATGACATGCAATTAATCAATAACATGTAGTTAAAACATCACCCCCAAAATTCTTTCGAGTATATAATATGTGCATATAAATCAACAAGTTATGATCAATATCAAGCAAGTGACAATTCTTGCGTTAGCAATACCAATTTGTAGTGGCATGTGAGAACAAGAAGGTTGATGAATGATGCTATAAGATGAACAATAATCTAAAAGGCATTTTACATATTTTCTATAACATTATTAGGTCCTAAATTTTAATAGATCATTCACATCAATTCATAGTTATTCGATGAATCTTAGTAAACAAGAAAGGAATTTTGACCGATCTTCCATTGAAAACAATCATGTATTATAGAATTATCATCAATAAAATAGCAAATATGAAAAACCAGAAATGTTTTCAACTAGATATGACCCCAAATATCAATGTGAATTTCAAATGGAGAACTACAACTTTTATTTTGCTATATGCAGTAAGACCTATTATACTTACCTAACTGACATAATACACGCTTCAGCTTAGATACAGACATAACTGAATGACCTAGCAAATACAGAAGCTTTAGAGAGGCATAACCAAATCAATGTCTGTCATTGAAGAGCTAAAACATCAGATGCAATGGTCTTCGCTGGGTTACAGAATTGAATATAATAACGTCGCCATATTGATAACTCCATCAAGTGTTTTCTTCGTTAAAATCCTGGAACACACTTTAAGGAGGAAAATTCAAAATTATAGTCAAACGACCAATGAATAAAGTTTAAAAGGGAAATGTTTAACATATTGCATATTAGACAAGCCTGAGAAAAGCATGACCTAACCGATAGTTCCATTAAAGAGCTGGAACATAGGATAGAACAATAACAATGGGTACATGAGGTGGTTACTGAATTAAAGATAATAAAGTCCATCATGTTCATAACCCTGACCAATCATCTTCTACGTTTGAAAATCTTGTAATACATGATGATGTAGAAAAGTTAGACAGCATTTAATTTTTTTTTCAAATGACTAGAAAATAGAAAATTATGAGGAACATCTTTAAACATGTTGCAAGCTAGACAAAGGTATGCAATGGTGTTGAACTAATGATTTTGGTGCCAATAATAGATAGACAATGAATGACCATCATCAAAGAGAACAAAATACTGGAAACTAATATTAAAAGTAGAATATGTGTTAGATTTACCTGCTCTAAAATCGACGGTCCAAAAATTGACCAAGAACTTGCAACACGTGATATCTGAACGTGCCAGAGTAGGCATATTTTGTTAGATATGGGTTGAATCTTCTGAAGTAGGAAATTATGTTCATAGAGCTTTCAAAAGACTGATGCATGGCAATGGAATCCTGTCTAACCAAATAACAGAGCTAATTTTGTCAAACATATACAAGATATAAGATGAAAATGTTCGATCTTGTCGGCCATAAAGTTTCTAGCATTTACCCACAATATGATTAGTTTGATGATGATTGTTACAATAAAAATGCTTGTTTTGGCCTCCATTGCCACCATGACCAGCACGACCTCTACAACCACTACGACCAGACTTTCATGACTAGTTATGTGACCATGACCTAATAGAGCACTAGGTCAGGTAAAGAAGACCTATACAGTACTCATGAAAAAAAAACCCACCGCAGTAATAATGAATCAATTTGAATGCTCCATTAAGATTTCACTATCTGATAATACCATGAAATATACGAAAATGCTATACGAAAATGCTTTCCAGAATCATTACATTCATGGCACCATTTATTGGACATTTTGTGCTCACACATGCAAGAATAAAATGGCATTCCTCAGTGCAATAATTGTTACTTGCTTGATATTGCATAAATTTATTAGATTGTAAGATTGTTACATACTACTGTGCAGAGTGATAATTGCAAAATCTAAGAATTTTTTTTATTTTCTGGGTTTGAGTTGGAGTCTCTTGTTGCTGTGCGCTAATACTATGAAATATACAAAAATGCTTTCCGGAATTATTACACTAATGGCACCATTTATTGAACATTTTGTGCTCACACACACATGAACAAAATGGCATTTCTCAGTGCAGTAATTGTTACTTTCTTGATATTGCATAAATTTATTAGATTGTAAGATTGTTACATGCTACTGTGCAGAGTGATAATTGCAAAATCCAACAAATTTTTATTTTCTGGGTTTGAATTGGAGTCTCTTGTTGCTGTGCGCCAAACAGATTCTTGGATGTTCTTCTTTGTATTCTTGTGGATTTTCTTTTGGGGGGGTTTAAACTTCTTTGTTGGGATTTGCTTATGCTTAAAATGTAGAAAGGATTTGCTTCTCCTCAAATTGTTGCATGAGAATGTGTGCTACGTAAACGTAAATGTTTTAGTTCTCCTTGAATTTAAGTGGGTATAGGAGAGAACATGACTCTTGTTCTACCTGAAAGTTAAGCTTAGGTCTGCCCTTGCATCGTCTAGTTGAGTACAAAGATCCTGCCAGAAACGTCCTTATCAAGTGTTTATATTGCGGTTGTAATTGTTCTTTTTCATATTAAGGATGCTAGCAGCTTTATGTTGATGATGCATATGTGAAGCGTCCTTATTTATCATATTGATTACTGGTTATGTTTTTTTTTTTCCAACCTTGTTGATTGCCTTTCTACTTTAGCTGTTGTTATTTTCAGTGAAATTGGTCTGCTTGTTGATTCATTGAGTAGTTGAATGCTTGGGAAAGGCCTGTTTTCAAGGACATATGCTGTTGTGACTTTGTTGATTCCTACTTACAGGATTGGACTGTTGAACTTCCCCACCAACCAGGCATTTTGCTTAACTACTCATTAGCTAGTTAAAGTTTTCAAAGGATATCAAAGACATGCTAGGCACAGGAGCGAAACCTGGGACTTTTCTAACTCATATCATCACTTTTTTTAAAAAAAATGTGAATTATGTTATCTCTAGCATTCATTTATGCCATATATAGCATGTTTGAGATCCGTGTGGACATTTTTCAAAGTGCTTTCTGTATCGAGTCTGATCAACTTGTTAAGAATTTGAGAGGTGAACACCTGCTGCCTCTAGGTCTTCCTACCGCGTAGCACCACTATCAAGCAGGAATATTAAAATTGATAGCTGGTCCATAGTCGTGCATCTTTTTCTTTGATACTTGATTTATTGCCTATAGTTTCCAAACTTATAATCGAATTTTGAAGATTAATTGTGGTGCCGAGGCTCTCCTTTTTCTCCCCTCACCTGTTTTCTTATATTTATCTTGTAGGTGTTCTTGGTGTTTCATTTGACATTCCGTGTGGAGGGATGTTAACTAGAGGCAGGAGGAGCGTGGAACTTGGTATGCCCATGTATGAACTTGTATAAAGATCGTATATCTTGTGCTTTGAATGTTGTCTAACATTGAGATTGTTGTAATTGACTTATCATATGCCTTGAATTGTAATGCACATACAATGAAATTTTCACCGCGGCAAAATTTTACATCTCAATGACCAGGCTGCAGCTTCGTACTTGACAAGTTTCTTTCGTCCATTGGATAAAGTCAAAGCTGGATGCGATGGCTTCAGTTCTTGAGCCAGATCGAGGACTTGGAGTATGGTACCTTACGTTCATCATTTTATTTAACTCTTGTTACAGCCTTAGTTGTGGCTGATTGATTGAAGAAATCTTAAGCAACCTGTAAAGCAAAGTAACATAATAAATATTTGTTAGGCATAAATGTCATAGGTCCTGAATGCATGATTAAGGGTGCTCAGAGGAGAAGTGAAAGTTGCATATATATTAATTCAGAGCAAAGATTATTCTTAATATATGAAGTATGAATAATCACATTTACTAATCCTTCTCCTCTAGATTTAATTTGAGTAAATTGCATGACAAACTCCTCATCTGACCGTGCAACATTGCTCCATGCCATAGATTCCCATTAGATTAAAATGTTGGGTAGCCATCTGTCACGAAGGGAATCATTCTGGACAAATGAGGAATGTGATTTTCCTGGGATTCCAATATAACGGCAAACGTCGAACTAACTTAATGTCAAAACAGCAGAGCCCTGATCATAACTAGGGTGAATTGCGGATTGTCCTCCTCTAATAAACTCCCTGGGTGTTTTTTTGACTCTTCTACCCTCGTGAGGTCTATTTCGCAAAAAAAAAAAGAGTTAAAAAAACAAGAAGAAGAAGAAGAAAAAAAAAAATCCTCTGAGGGTAACAGAGTAAAAAAAATCATTTCGGGGTCAATCCATAAAAATAGAACTACAAGGAGTCTATCTGCAATTGGGCGATAGTGCGGGGGTTGATCTGCAAATAGCCCTTATAATTATGGATTCAAGCTTTTGTGTGGTTAAGAATTAAATATATCTCAATATGTATGGAAGATCTTTATATATTGACCTTGTACCTTGTGTGTATCTCTGGTTGAGTACGAATGTTAGTACCAGTTCTATCAATATATACTACATGTGAGCAAGGTATTGTGAGTTGTTGACTAGAAGGGCAGGGGAATAATTTGGAGACTCCCAATCCATTTTTATGTTTCAGATTATCCTTCTTGCCAAGAGATGTTTTGATAAGATTTTATATACCACTACCTTATGTAAAATTAAGGGGGAAAAACGACTATTGTTGTAATATACTAAAGAAATGAAACGAAAGATGGACAAGAGACAAGAGAATAAGATAAATTGTAATTTTCATTTCCACCTTTTTTCCATACATCCACCAATTTATAGATACATTGTGGAAAATAAAAAGACATTGGACTAATGAAAAGTCACCAATAAATATTTCACATTAATAAAGTAATGTTCACATTCATTTTGTCTTTTAGGTTTCCACAAAATGACTTTTGGATTTCAACACTCCCCCTTGGACATTACTTCGAGATGTCAATGCCTCATTAAAAACCTCGCTAGAAAAAAACCCAGTGGGAGAAAAACTAGTCGAGGAAAAGAGTACACGACATATATATAGATTCTTGTGTTGCATTAGTTGCCTCATTAAAAACCTTTGGCTAAGAAAACCCTGTGGGAAAAAAACTTAGCAAAGGGAAAAAGAGTACAACTATAGTCCTTCAAGGCGCAATCTTCGGGATTGTATTGAAAATTCGCTCCCCCTGATGATGACAATCTTCAGAGTCTATGCTAAGAAAAACCCAGTGGGACAAAACTTAGCGAAAAATATGACGATAGACTTTCAGGGCCCAATCTTCTAGGATTGTACTTTAAAAATTTGCTCCCCCTGAAGACGATAGTCTTCCAAGTCTGTGCATACCAATATTGTGAACATATTTCTCAAAAGTTGATGTAGGCAGGGATTTAGTGAACAAATCTGCAAGATTGTCACTTGAGCGAACCTTTTCAATAGTGATTTCACCATTCCTTTGGAGCTCATGTGGATAAAAGAATTTTGGTGCAATATGTTTTGTCATGGTTCCTTTTACATATCCACTGTTCATTTGTGCAACACAAGCTGCATTGTCCTCATAAAGGACAGTGGGGGTAATATCGTCTTTCGCTAGGCCACACGAGCCACGAATGTGTCGTATCAACGATCTTAACCATACACATTCTCGTGAGGTCTCATATAAAGCGATAATCTCCGAGTGGTTAGAAGAAGTAGTCACCATAGTCTGCTTGACAGACCTCCAAGAAATGGCAGTACCACCACAGATAAATACATAACCAGTCTGGGATCTGGCGTTATGGGGATCAGACATGTAGCCAGCATCCGAATAGCCCACCCAGTCTGGGATCTGGCGTTATGGGGATCAGACATGTAGCCAGCATCCGAATAGCCCACCAATGTCATATCTTGGTTTCTTTTATAGAATAGTCCAAGATCTTTTGTTCCTTGAAGATAACGAAGGATATGTTTAACACCATTCCAATGCCTCCATGTAGGAGAAGCACTATACCTTGCTACCAAGTTCACCGCAAATGCTATATCAGGCCTGGTGCAATTTGCGAGATAGAGAAGTGCTCCAATGGCGCTCAGATAGGGAACTTCTGGCCCTAACATTTCTTCATTATTTTCTTTGGGTCTAAATGAGTCTTTATCCACTTCGAGGGACCGGACAACCATTGGTGTGCTAAGTGGATGAGATTTGTCCATATAAAACCTTTCCAAGACCTTTTTCACGTAGGTCGACTGGTGTAGAAAAATTCCTTCTGGGAAATACTCGATCTGCAGGCCGAGACAAAACTTGGTTTTTCCCAAGTCTTTCATTTCAAACTCCGTCTTTAGGCATGAGCTAGCTTCTGTAAGCTCCTTGTGCATTCCAATAACATTTATATCATCAACATAAACTGAGATGATACAGAAGCCATTTTTTTCTTTATAAACACACAAGGGCATAAGTCGTTATTTACATATCCCCTCTTCAGGAGGAAATCACTCAGTCGATTATACCACATCCTACCCGACTGTTTTAAGCCGTATAATGACCTTTGCAATTTAATACTATACATGTTGCGATTTTCATTTTCACTCAATTTAGGGATTTTAAGTCCATCTGGGACTTTCATATAAAAATATTAACATCTAATGATACATATAAAAATATGGTCATGACGTACATATACTGCATATATAAATTCATAGTTTCTGCCATATGTATTAACTTGCGGAACGTAATACAATCACTAATAGGAGAATATTTTACATCTAAATCGATGTCGGGTCTCTGCGTGAACCCATTGAGCTATGAATCTCGCTTTATATCTCACCACCTTACAATTCTCATTTATTTTTCTTACGAAGACCCATTTATATCCTGCAGGGATATATGAACTACAGGTTCAAAAATACTTTAGCGAGTTCAGCTCAGCCTCAATTGCCACTTCCATCTCACCTAGTCCGAGTGCTTCAAGCACTCTATTACCGACATAGGTTCTGGATCCAGATTAATTTCGGAGATAGTAAGAGCAACTGTAGAGGCAA